GTGGAGGTCCCGCGAACTGCTCCAACCTCCTAACCTTTTCGTTTCCCACAAACCCCTAGGGCTACGAAAGTGAAAATGATCGCATGTGGAGGTTTGAATAGTCCTGCGTAGGTTGAGTTGCCAGATTGAGTGAATGACACAGTGCAAACCACAGTGAACCCTGAGCGTTTGCGTACTGCAAGTGTAGCTGCGTGTATCTGTGTCAGGACTGGACAATTATTTTCTGCAGAGGACCAACTCTGTGCTTCACCATGTCAGCAGGGTCTATTTTTTAATGATTATACTCATGTCCCAGGAAAGCTGCAACGGCAGACCCAGACTTTTTTGGAGAGGCTAATTCTTGCATGCTGGTATGGAAACAGCAGTTGTATTTGTGATTATTCATGGAACTTCAGTGTAAAACTTAACCCATTTTTTCCCTTTTTAATGATTATGTGGGCCAATGAAAATAGACCCCATGGTCCCACTTTTTCCCTGGTCTGATCTGTGCTGTGTGACAGCAGAGCGGCCCAGAGGCACTGCAGTCACACCAGTGGGGCACCATCACTTTTTCCTAAAGCCTGTCTATTCCTCTCACCTTGTTCTTTGTGTCACACCCATATACAAGCAGCGGCAGCCATCAGTGACCACTTCAGTCTTGGCATGCAAAGCGTGTCTGTTTCCAATAGGGCTGCTGGACAATTTTAAGCTGAATTGAGGTGGCTTGACATGCTTCTCCTGCACGAAAAAAAAATCACCTCAGTCTAAATTAGTCAGCAGAAAGCGGGGCCTTTGCCAGTGGGTGAGAGGACAGAATCCGGGCCAAACACCTGATCTGTGTCATGAGAGGAGGAAGACGAAGGGGATGAGGGACACCATTAGAGTTGTGGACTGTGATAAACATCACGTCAAGCTGGGAACACCCGTCTCGCCCTATGAGGCGAGAAGGTACAGATTAGTAAACCTGAGAGTAAGATGGCCCCATGAGGCGAGAAGGTACAGATTAGTAAACCTGAGAGTAAGATGGCCCCATGAGGCGAGAAGGTACAGATTAGTAAACCTGAGAGCAAGATGGTCCTATGGGTAGGAGAGGATAAACAAATATAAATCAGCTCCCCCCACTCCCAAGCTCTAGGCAGGAGAAGGAGGGTGGATCAGCTCTTCCTCACCCTCGTCCTCAGAAATATTTGCGAAGTGAAGCTTGTCTCACGTCAAATGCCCCCCACCCCCCCGCTTCAGCTCAGAGAGAGTACTCCACTGTTTCAAAAGAACTGGACCCATCTTGATGTTTGGGCTGTAAACAAACATGCTTCTGGAACATTCCAGACACAAAGTCAATATGTGAATCTAGCCAGATCTATGTGCAAAAACATTCCAATAATAATGCCCTAAATATGACTATAATTTCACCTGATAGATGAAGGTGTACATCACTCATGGGTCCAGCCACAGTCATTTTCAGGGATTCGATCGGGGGTTTATTCATTCCACCTCTTTTCACAGCCTGAACTGATTTCATTTTTTGCTGTTTTTTAATCTTTCACACTGCACCCACGGCAAACGGTTTAGAAGTTCGAGCCGGCACTGCACACAGTGTGCTAATGTCACTGTCACCCTCTCACTCTGTCACCGGCGTCACTGTCACCGACGCATGTGCGTGGAGGCGGCCGACGTCACGCAGTGATGACACGTCAGCACCAGATCGCCCGAAGACCAGCTGCTCATGTCCATCGCTGTTAGCGCAGCGCTAACCGTCAGTTCAGTGCTAATCGTTCTCATTTTCCCAGTAATTCTAAGTGACGCAGAGACTTCAAAGGCTTGTGGGGGGCGTTTACTTGTTAGGGAGGGAGGGGGGTTACTTGTTAAGCAGCATTGCCACCTGTTACACCTGTTCTGACTGATGTCTGCTCAGGTGAGCCAGCATCGCTATGCTATAGCTGCCATGAGCCTGACGGCCTGGGACGTGGGATGGCAGTGGGCTCCCAAGGGGGTGTAGACAGCTTCTGAGCCCATGCACCACCTCTGCCTCATTACAGGCAACTTAAGGAGGCTCCTCTCTCCTATCCCAGCCCCAGAATGCACTTCCACTTCCTCTCCCCTGCTGCTCCACATAAAATCCTCATTCCTTCCTCCCAACCCCCTTACACAGACACCTCCTATCCCGTATATCGGACTCCCTCACCGGCCTTCAAGACGCCTCTTATGCAGACAGTCAATCTGAACATCAGAGTCACTGATGCTCAGTGATGCTGTCCAGGATTCTGAGTAACTTCTCCTCTGAGACATGAATATGCATCAGGAATAACAGAACACCGCATATTCACATTGCCGAAACAGCCTCGGTGTAAATTTACCCACAATCCCCCACCCGCAGTCACACGGGTCAGCTGTATGATTCGCGATTCTCTGTGAGCCTGTTCTTTAAGCCTGCCTGCCTTCCCCGAGGATTCCACATCTAGCGTTTGTCAGATCCCTCCGCCTTATCTGCCCGCTTCTCGCAGCTCTTCAAACTGAAGCTCTGAGTAGTGCCAGCACACTTGAGGGAAGCCCTTCCTTCGTTCTCTGGCTAGTGAATATTTTACATCCCTTCTGCCTTGGCGTCCACGTAGAGCGCACGCACTGACGCCTTCGGGGGAAAGAATCCGGAGTAAACGGAGGCGTCTGTCTCGGCGTGATGTGCCGGGCCGGCATGGCGGCAGAGGTGTCAAATGAGGCAGGGGGCCGGCCAAGGAGAACCTGCGCTTTCGCTTGCTGAAGGCAGCCGTGTCACTTAATCCCTGAAACGTGCTTCAGGAGGCCATGGTGGCATTTCAGACACTGGCCCAAAGCCCAAGTCCTTCAGAAAGACAGAGTGCGATGCTGCTTACAGGCGGGACGGGGGCGCGGGTGACATTTAACGCCACATTGCTGTCAGAATGTGATTTCAGAAATGAGTGTCTGAAAAGTATAATTCACTCAAGTGCTTGTGCTTTAACTGTGAGTGATCAGGTTCACCATGAGGACCGAAGGGTGCACCAGCTGCTTCATGTGGCCGTTTGTGCGAGATGGCCGCATTGAGACTGTGCAGTAAACAGGGGCTTTATCTGTGCTAGAAAAATGGAAGGAAAGACAGATGCGCAGAGATGGGGGAGTGTGTGCGTGTGTGTCGGTGTGTGGGGGGGAGGGGGGGGCAATTTACCCTGAGATATTTATGATCAGCATAAACACAAACACACACCCCACCTAAAACACCGGTTATCTTGGTGACTGACAGACCTGATTTAGTTCCAAGTGTAGCAGTTTAGCAGTGACTATTTATGACACGGAAATGAGGGAAACGGCGAGCCATCCCATAATGCCCTTCTGCCATGATGTCAAGATACATCAATAACAGAGTAAGCAATGTAATGACTCGGTGTCGCTCTCTTGTTTGGGTTTATTAGCATGCTATAAAAGCTTCATTTGGCACGGATACATTGTGCTATGAATGATTTAACAAGCTCTAAATTAAACTCCAAGTCCTCCCTGAAGAAGTTAGCGAAGAGCTGCTCAGAGCCGGACTACATGGTAAAAATCAGCCAATGAAACATGATATCAACTTCAAAGGAACTTCAGTCAGGATCTTCTCCTCGGCCTGATGAATTATTGAGGCTCTCTGCAAGCGGCCTTGGGTTGTGTGAATTTTTTTTATTTTTTGGCATGAATAAAGCTAAGCCTTTAACTGGCTCCGCTGCCAGAGTGCTGTTTTCGCGGGAGGAAAGCGTACGACGTTCAGGGCTGACATGCCCTTCCCTAACCTGTGAGCTGTAATCACCAAGGCAAACTCTTCCCAGTCCGATGAGCTGATGGATTTGTGGTCCAGTCTTCATCCTTATGGATGCAACCTTGGCTAGTTCTCCGAGGCGTGGAGGAATACCGTTTGTCAGAAATGCCCATATCTGTGTTTATTCTGTGCCGTGTAGCAGAAGGTCTAGGAATATGTTTCCTTGGTGTCTAACAAACATGCTCTGGTTTGCTCACCAGGAGCACGCGGTATTCGCATCTTCAGGTATTTCTGGATGTCTAATTTTGGCCGGTAACAGTAATAACACGGAGGAGCGTGTGTGTTTTCCCAAATCGTCTGCCTGACACGCTGTCCTTTATATTTACGACTCTGGAGACCCCGGAAAAGGCTTTGCAATGATGAGAAGAGGCTCTCTAACCCAAATACAAAACAGGGGCTGTTGTCACATGGCATGGTTAGCTGGGGGAAAACAGTCTGGTCCAAAAGCTGGTAAAAGCCCGGTCACATGGTCCCTCGGAAGAGCAGCGTCAGCAGCGTGGTCACGGCAGAAGCCATTCCTATTATTCTGAGACAACAGGATTTCTGGCCCGTCGAGGAAGCGAGGGGGAGGGGCGGATGGGGAAATCCTGTCCTCAGACGGTGACCTCCAACGCTGGAGATTTCTGCAGCAAGTTCAGCTTCCATCCAATCAGAACGTTGGGCACATGTATGGTACGCATAGAGCTGGCCGCATCTTACAGCTGCACAGAAACCCCTCGAAGGGTCTGTGTATGAGAGCAAAGCTAACAGGCTCACAGACATAGAGGACAGCTAGTATTCATAAGGACTCCGTCACCGTGGTGACGGTCCCACCTGATAAACTGCATCGCCTGATATGGCTACAAAGCCAAGCTATCTGCACGCATTTAAATCAGTGCTGCAGTTACTGCATCGCTGTAATAACCAGCAGATAACAAGCAGGAAAAGAAGAAGAATCATGACCCGAACCACAGCCCCTCCCCATTTAAGTCAGTGGTATGAAAACAGCACCACTGTAATTAACCAGAGTTAAATATACAGCATATATTATATTAAAAGATGCTGCTAAAAATGATCAGTGGGTAACAAGTGGGAATTGAATCCTAAGATACTTTAAATAGTTATCCATTTATATCCATTTTCTGCAGTGCAGAGAATCCAATCTGCAGGCAAACACATCGCTACCTGCTTTTAACAGCAGCAAAATAAATAAATCCACCAATCAGTGAGGACTCTGCTTTTTAACTGACCACGGACATTTTATAAGCGCTGTATCTTTTCTTTTTCATATATAAGATCCCGTTTTTGCTGATGCATTCTGCCTGAATTCGGCAGGGCAGATTTGGATTACGCGCGGCGATGTGATCTCGGATAACGGGACGGCTCTCAGCGCTCCGGTCGCAGTCTGAAATGCTATCCCGGCGGGTGAAGGGTAAAAGCTGCCTGCTTTATACGCCACACTCATAGGCAGCGGCGGTGAGGCCAGGTAACTATTCAAAACTGCCGACTAGTCAGTGTGACGGGTTGTGTTAGACCGCAGCTGATGTCTCTGGCAAACTTCAGCCAAACATTTTTCCATTTATCCATGCTGCTGTTTAAAATTAGATTTTTCTTCCTCCTCAGAATAAATGTCTGTGAAATGACCCTCCTTCAGTGTGCCCCTGGTCCTCTCACTGAAGGTAGCACAGCATCTCCAGACTGCGCCGTGGCTGTGCCCGTAGTGCAGGAGACGCCGCACGGGATCTCTGAGTTAGCCACACAGCATGACACGCTGTGGGAGTGTGTTAGCATTTTCAAGCTAATGCCCATGTAGCCTTTCTCAAGATTCCGCTGTGAGATTTTGCCCGGCGTGGGGTGGGATAATGATGCACTTCTGATCGAAAATCCGCAACGTGTGAAGCGGCGGGTAGAGCGAGGGGGAGGTGCATGACTAACACCTTACATCAGCCCGTGAATCACTTAGCGTCACCTCACGCTGCATTAAGAGATGCCGGGCAGGGCACTGTCAGCAGCTCTGTAAGATCCTCTCCCAGTGATGGACCGTCTCTGCTCATCCCTAAATCTGACCTTGCAGCTTGCACCTGGATCTGAACTGGACACAACTGGTGCACAGAAAGTCTTGAGGTGTTATTAAAGCCGGAATACAGCCGCCTTTCCTCCAAGAGAATTCCTGGAAGGGAGCTAAGACTCACACAAAGACAGGAAATGTGTGACGGGCAGCTTTAGCTGGGGTGGTTTCCACAAAAAAAAACCAGTTTAAAAGGGCAGCTCAGTACATAGAGTGTCAGTCCGTGGGCGGCCAAATCGGCTGCTGCCTGCCGACTCCTGTGACATTCTGGGCGCCTTCATCACGCCGTTTCACTGAGCCGCTCCATAGTGAAGGGTCACCGCAAACATTTGCTGAGAGAATGTGCATCCAGCTGTCCCCCATTTATCCTGATTCCATTCATTTTATTTTATAGATGCCTAAGGGGGTCAAAGTGCCATGTGGCTGAAAACATAAAAGTCCGTTGTGCAATGAAATACTGACACAGCAAGAAGAAAGATAAATCAAAAATAAAAGGTGTTTAATAAAAGGATACAATTACACAGGCCTTCTGAAGAGATAGAGACCATCTCCATATCTGTATGAAAAGGACACCTGAGCAGGGAAGCCACAAGCGTGGAGGCTAAACGCCCTCAACCACGTACAAAGCGTGACATCAGACCAAAGGAGCCAGAGGACTTAAAACCCAACCGGCTCTCGGCAGAACAAAGAACACAGACAGGGGGAGTGTGCAGCGAAAGGTCCAGATCTGAGACGCTGACGTGAGCTGCTTGTCAATGGCTTACATCGGCACCGCTCATGAAAAAGCAAGGCTAATACTCATGGACATCAAACAAAGCATCACTCTCACGATTCCGATCATAAAAGTCATTTAGGCAGCCAATTCAAGTGGAGAGCAGTGAAAGATAAGGGGACTCTATGGGCACAGGAATGGAATGCAAGGGACTCTATGGGCACAGGAATGGAATGCAAGGGACTCTATGGGCACAGGAATGGAATGCAAGGGACTCTATGGGGAGAGGAGTGAAAGATAGAGGGACTCTATGGGGAGAGGAGTGAAAGATAGAGGGATTCTATGGGGAGATGAGTGGGAGACAGGGGACTCTATGGGGAGAGGAGTGAAAGATAGAGGGACTCTATGGGGAGAGGAGTGAAAGCAGGGGACTCTATGGGGAGAGGAGTGAAAGATAATGGGACTCTTTGGGGAGGAGTGGAAGGCAGGGGATCCTATGCTTAGTTTAGGCTTCACTCCTTGTACACAAAGTACCCTAAATGAAGCACCTACCTGGACAGCTGATATTTCTTTAGACATCACTGTGGATATGAGGAAGTCATTTTAATGAATAATGATGATTGACACTGTCATAATGGGAGACACCAGGGCAGATAAGGATATGGGAGGGCTGGGGGGAATGAAGGTGAGATGGAGGTATAAGCATTGGCGATGAGTCACGGAGGAGAATAGCTTTGTCTCCTCGCCATTTTGTCCAGAGTCAGATCAGATCTTTGCCAACTTTCACATCAAGTCCACAAACTGCTTTGCAAAATCAGAATCTTAAGTCCGCCTGTCAGGCAGGAAGGAAGAGGGAAGGATATGGAATTGCTAACTAAAAGATGTGACCCCCCCCACAGGATGGATTACTTCCTCAGCTACATCCTGTGAAGTCATATTTTTACCACTCTGTAAGAACAAGGGGGAGGGACAAGCCAGCTGTCCACTCAGCTGACACGCATGCAGTCATAAGACGGATGTGTTCACGGACACTGACAGGCCACCCCGCGGACTGTCCCTCCCCATGCTCTGCCTGGAGGGGCTCGCGTCGCGTGCTGGAGGGTAAATCGGCATGGGCACGGACACAGAGCTCTTCCGATATCGGATGTGGTGGACGCCCCCAGAGAGCCGTCCGATGCCACGAAGCTCCAAAGGTCTCATCACGCTAATGAGAGGGCAGGGGACAAACGTGAGAGGCGGTCTGCATGTTTACACAACACCCACCCATCCTGAGCAAGCTGCCGACGCAGGCAACCCAAGATCCACCAAGATTAACCTTTTTATATCCAGCCATTACACATCCAGAGCCAGATGGATTACAGTTTTACACAAAAGAGCTTATAAATTATGAGCTATTACAGAATGCGGAGAGACAGAATTTAATTCATTTATCCTTACTGTACTACTGAGAAATGAGACATTTACCATTATTAAGGACAGAATAGGGTGTGTTTGGGAAGACAGGATGGGAAGAGGGCCAGTTTTATAATTATATCATTAAGTCCCCGTTGGGTTATGACATTGATCATATGCTCAAGAAAGACAGAATTAGCGAACCAGAAACGCAGTAGAGACATAGTGTGCTCAGCAACGAGCTCCACTCGTTAAGCTAACGGGGAACTGGAGAGAGAGCTTGATAAGCAAGAGGCACAGATGGAGGGAGCGATTCAGAAATGATGGCAGAGAAAAGGGGGGGGGAGAGAGAGAGAGAGAGAGAAAGAGTACTAATGAGGTGGGAGAGAGCTAAGGGAGAAAAAGCAGAGCAGATACATGCAGGCGGCCAGAGTAGACTGGCTGCCCCCCTGCATCTCCATTCTCACAGTAGGAAAAAGCCGCTGTCCGGAAGTAAAAAGAGTGATAAAAGAAAACCATAAAAGAAGAGATGGAAAACAGGAAGTTACGCCCAGTAATCCGCTACAGATGGAAACTGTCAGAGAGGAGGGAGGAAGAGGAGGAGTGGGATAGAGTAGAGAGGGCTACAGGGAAGGAGAGGGCAGTACGGAGAAGGGAAGTACCAACGGGACAGAGAAAAGAGAGTGAACTAATAACAGAACAGGGGACGAGAGAAAAGAGAGGGAAGTAACGACAGAACCAGGAAAGGGAGAAAAGAAGGGGAAGTAACAACAGAACCAGAAAAGAGGGGGAAGTAACAACAGAAACAGAGAAGAGAGAAAAGAGGGGGAAGTAACAACAGAACCAGAGAAGAGAGAAAAGAGGGGGAAGTAACAACAGAACCAGAGAAGAGAGAAAAGAGGGGGAAGTAACAACAGAACCAGAAAAGAGAGAAAAGAGGGGGAAGTAACAACAGAAGCAGAAAAGAGAGAAAAGAGGGGGAAGTAACAACAGAAGCAGAAAAGAAGGAAGAGAGAAAAGTACAGAAATTGGGAAAGAGAAAAAAGAGGGGGAAGTTAGGACAGAACAGGGGGGAAAGAAAAGGAAGAGTATCAAAAGGGAGAGAGAGAAAAAAAGGGAAATACAGACAGAATAGAGTGGAGAAATTAGGGGGATGTAATGATAAAACAGGGGAAGGGAGAAAAGAGAGGGGTTTAAGGACAGAATAGGAGAAGAGAGGGAATTAAGGAGAGAAGAAGAGAAGGTCATGATATACAGAAAAATAATCAGAAATGACCCTGTAACCTATAAGGGCCGGTGGGGGCTGAATGGTCAGTGAAGCGCACTTGTAATTTGGCTGCCCCCTGATGTCACAGTGTCACTTATGGGTTAAATGCAGAGGACACATTATGCTGTGGTGTGTCAACAATGACAATTAATCGCTAAATTCTAAAACCTGTTAACTCTGCTGAAGCCAGGTGCTGGAAGAGAAGTCAAGGGAAATGCATCACAATGTGAATAATTCGTAAAAGATGCTTCACGCCTATTATACAGGCTATAGATTATTCAAGTAAAAATAAATACAATAAAATAAGTCCTAAAAATCAAATAACTCCTAGTTGAATCCCATTGGACTAATTGGTGAATAGTGTGTTTTTGGTGCTGGCCATCTGTGTTTTGTAAGAATGTCAGTAAAACTATACCCAACACCTTCTGAATGACGTTTTATCAGGCTTGGTTACACTGAATCTGACACCTGACTGACCTGCAGCCGATCTCTACGCTGGTCCAAAGCACCCAGCAACTAAGATCAACTTAGAAACACACTAATCTGGGGAATTGCTAAGGGACCGTGAACAAAGATTGGGACAGAAGACACACAACATGTTTGTTCTAACGAAACACCGATCGATCGGCCAGCGATCGGAATGGGCCGATTTTCAGCCTGATCGGTGATTCCCGATTACGAACTGATCTTGCGCACGATCAATAAATCATATGCGGAGTCACGCGCACTTTCAGACATGCAAAAATGTCCGTAATTTGGTACACCGTGGGGGAACCAATACAAAGACATTTAACACAACAAATTTAATCAGACATTTAAAAACACATCGCCCCAGTGAACACGCTCAGTTTGAAGAAGCTAGCAAAGCGAAAGCTGCCAGCCAAGCATGTTTGAAGCCTGAATCTAGGAGCCAGCAGTCTGCCCTGTCTTTCGGTGGTATAAGCAGCTCTCTGAGATGCCCAGCAGCAGAGGTGAAAATGCCTTGAACTACTGGAATATCAACAAGGACCGTTTCCCTGCACTTGCTTCATTTGCCCGAGCCGACCTCTCTGCCCCATGTACAAGTGTTGAGAGTGAGCGCTTGTTTAGCTCCGCTGGACATGTGATAGATGAGACGAGAAATAGAATTTCAGGTGACAAGGCAGAAATGCTTCTGTTCATAAAGAGAAACTTGCCATTAAAGCTTAAATAGTAGCATTTTGTTTTATAATATGTTGCCAAGACAAAAAGGTGCCTTGTTCTTTTACTTTTACTTACTGCCCCTATTATTATTTTAAAGAATATATTAATGTTTATTAATGTTATTTATTTGTTTAGGTTTATTTATTTGAATTTGCAAAGTTTAGCAGATGAAACAAGAAATAGAATTTCAAGTGACAAGTCAAAAAAGGTGTCTTGTTACATATTTTTCTTTTACTTGCTGCACCTATTATTATTTAAAAAAATATATTAATGTTTAGTTGGAGTTGTATTTATTTGTTTTAGTAAAATTTATTTGAATTTGTAAAGTTTAATAAGAGTTTATTATGAAAATAAAGTTTTGAGGTAAAGAAAATGTGATTTTGTATGTATTTGCTGTACTCAGAGCAAAAATCGGTATCAGAAAAATCGGTATCGGATCGACCAAGAAAATTGCAATCGGTGCATCCCTAGTTTGTTCATAAACATATCTTAGACCAATACTTCCCAACCCGGTCCTCGGGGAGCCCCAGGCAGTCCACGTTACTGGGAGCTGGGAGGGAGCAACATGCCGACTGGCTGGGGGCCCCCAAGGATCGGGTCAGGAAACATTATCGTAGACATCAAGCCTCCACTGAAGTGAAATGAAGGTGCAGCCTGGTGAATATCTGGACCACATCCAAATGATCCACAATACCTGATCCACACTTGGCCAGAAAGTTCCAAATGTCCATATCAGACTACTGTAGTCCAGAGGACTCCCTAACAGAAGAGGTTAGATGGGTTCAGAGAAATGTGTCTAAACCACAACCACAGATGGAACAGCCATCATCCTGATCCCTGTAAGTGCTCCATCTCCCATTCATAGGCCACTCTGACAGAGACACCTGTCCGGGATGAAGAAACCCAGACAACAGCACTCATATTCACTCTCCTCTAGTCATCAGGGACTGCGGGGGGGATAACTCCAGGATATTGGAGAAAAGGAAATGAAAAACCCAGAGATCATGTTTCGAGCAACCTGAGAACTCTGTGAGAACCTGCAAGGAAGGCAGAGAGAGAAAGAGAGAGAGAGAGAGAGAGAGAAAGCAGGAGAGACAAAGAGAAAGCGGGGGAGGGGGAGGGCCAGGCGAGTGGAGGACACTGAGCGAGTGAGTGAGCGGGCGGTACAGGAAACCTGGAATGAATAATTAAAATATTCAAATGATCATTATGCATATATACTGTTCTCTCCAGTTTCTATTTCATTAATCCAGCAAATATTGATTAAACGGCAGCTCGAAATTACATATACTGTATAAATGTATGAGTACATCTGTATATGAACATGCTAAATGTGGCTCCAGCCCAGGGGCTATGATCTCATACCCTACTGGGATGTAGCCTCCTGTGTACGTCAGGAAGCGGACCACAGTTTTGCAGCGAAGTGTATGCTCTTCAGCCAGGTTATGAAGAACCCAGCTTTAAACGAGTTAGCTTCTCTCCAAGGCAAAAGGCAGCAAATGTGGGGAGGCTCGTTGGTTTGGCACGAACGTTTACCTCCTCGGGGGTAAACAGATTTTGATCCAGACCACGTGGATCACTGTGAGGAGGATGAAAGACAACAAATGCCCATGTGTAAAAGTGGTAAAGGTGGTAAACGAGTGGCAGAAATCCATGTAGTGATCATCTGGGCCAGGCCACACCTGTCGGGGCCTGAGTCATCACAGGGACCCACCAGCGAGGGATTATGGGATGGGGGGTGGGGTGCGGGGCTTGGTAAAAGGCTTTGTAGAACCTGTTGAAGGTAGAGAAGGAGTTTTGTTCATACCATATTTCATCTGTATTGTGTTACCCATTCACTTGGCCTGGTAGGGGTGGGTCACGGCAGAGGTCACATGACATTCGTTACCCACGTCCAAAACCGGTTTCTGAAGAAGAAAGAGGTGGGGAATGATAGAACCATGAAGATAAAATCCCAAAGAGAGAAGCAGATTATCACAGTTCATATCACAGTGGCTGAGGCTGAGAAACTGAAGACAGGGAGGAGGAGGAGGTTGAGGTCATGCGGGATGTGATGCGGGGTCATCCATGAACAATCTCTGACTCTGAGTTCAAAGCGGAGGAGGCGCTGATGTAACGGTTTAGCACTGAGGCTAAACCTCTGAGGCTAACCCTCTGAGGCTAACCCTCTGAGGCTAACCCCGCCATCTCCGTCGTTTTGCCTGAGCTGTGCAGATGGTGCATTATGAGTCGGGAGACATTAAGCAGCCCTGGAAACGGGAGCCCGCAAACAGGCCCGCGGAGCGCTGGGGCGCACGCTCACTCTCGCCCAATAACCGGCAATTATGTGGCTATGATGTCACCGGCTTCCAGCGAGTGCAGAGCCCCCAGCCGCTGGGATATTAGCGGCGATGGAAAGTGCTTCCTCTGCGGAATACTAATGTGGGTTACCCTCTCTCTACCAAACCGAATGGCTGAACCGAGGGGGGGGCCACAGAGGGGCACTGGCTAACGGACGAGTCCATGACTGACTGACACTCATGAACTGGATCGCTGACAGGGGAGCGTGCTGAGGGACACGCAAAGGACGCCGAGCCAAGGGGGAACGGATGAGGCCGTCCCAGCAAAGGCTCTCTGTCCATTGATTATCTGATGAGGCGGAAGGAAGGCAGGCAGGCGGGGNGGGGGTGGAGAAAGGTTAAGTGTGAAGAGCCTCTATCATCGTTTACAAAAGTCCTTTTGTACGAAGGCCTGAGTCATAGACAGTACCAGAGGGCAAGAGCAAATCAGCAGATCTAATGATGTAAACCGCCAATCTGATCACCCCCCAGCCGTGCCCCTCCCCCCCCCCAATCCAGAGTGTCTGTAATCTGATCCCATGTTATTAATTACACACAGAGAGGATCAGGTGCTTACCTTTATCCACAGGAGGCTGAAGAAACCACGTCACGTCGAAGACACACGCAGAAAACGCCAACAGGGGCAGCATGCATGAGTTTAAAAAGATCCATTACTCATTCAATTAGCTAGTCCTGTGAGGGGGGCTAATTAGCCCTGTGTAAAACACCTCTCTGTACCCTTTGTAACTGTCCCAGGAAGGGGGGGGGGGGGTCAGGGGAGCAGCACCGCCAGTTCCAGAACTTTTTTTACTGTGTTGTTCACGACACCGCAGGTGATGGGACAGACCCCCCACCCCAAAGCAAGTGGGTCAGGCTCACCTCTACAGGCCAGGGATAAAACCTGGAGTGCAGAGGGGGTGGGGAGAAAGGGGAGGGGCACAAGAAGCTAAAGGGAGGGTGGGGGGCACTGAATACTTGAAAACTGTAACATTCTGCTTTGAGGAATTAAAAATGCAACTCTGCCATCAGAAGTGCAACCTGTGCAACTTCTTGGAAAGGTATGGGTGGGGGGGGGAGAGGCACAGCCCTGTAGCGAGCAGAAAATCACCAGAGTAGGCA